GGGTGAAGGTGGTGGTTAATGCCTCCCTTCGGGAGGGCAAAATTCCAGCCAGCTTAAAGCAAGCTGTGATAAAACCGCTGTTGAAAAAACCATCACTGGACCCCACTCAATTCGTCAACTATCGGCCTGTTTCCAATCTCCCCTTTTTGGGCAAAGTCATGGAACGTGTGGTGGCCTCACAACTCCAGGCATTCTTGGTAGACACGGATTATCTGGATCCGGCACAGTCTGGCTTTAGGCCGGGGCATGGTACCGAGACAGCCTTGGTCGCCTTAGTGGATGATCTGCGTCGGAGCTCGACAGGGGGAGTGTGTCCCTGTTGGTGCTGCTCGACCTCTCAGCGGCCTTCGATACCGTCGACCACGGTATCCTTCTGGGACGCCTCGCGGGGATGGGTCTTGGAGGTACTGTTCTGCAGTGGCTCCGCTCATTCCTCGAGGGTCGGTCTCAGAAGGTGTTACTGGGAGACTCCTGTTCTACTCCACAGCCTTTGTCCTGTGGAGTTCCTCAGGGTTCAATACTGTCTCCCATGTTGTTTAACATCTACATGAAGCCGCTGGGCGAGATCATCCGGAGTTTCGGAGTGCGATGTCATCTGTACGCAGATGATGTCCAACTCTGTCACTCCTTTCCACCTGCTACTAAGGAGGCTGTCGAGGTCCTGAACCGGTGCTTGGCCGCTGTGACGGTCTGGATGGGGGCGAACAAATTGAAATTGAATCCAGACAAGACAGAGGTACTCCTGGTTAGTCGCAAGGCCGAACAGGGTATAGGGTTACAGCCTGTGTTAGACGGGGTCGCACTCCCCCTGAAGACGCAGGTTTGCAGTTTGGGTGTGATCCTGGACTCATCGCTGAGCCTGGAACCCCAGGTTTCGGCGGTGACCAGGGGAGCATTCGCACAATTAAAACTTGTGCGCCAACTGCGCCCGTACCTTGGGAAGTCTGACTTGGCCACGGTAGTCCACGCTCTGGTTACATCCCGTCTTGACTACTGCAACGCTCTCTACGTGGGGTTGCCTTTGAAGACGGCTCGGAAGCTCCAATTAGTCCAATGGGCGGCAGCCATGTTACTAACAGGAGCAGGGCGCAGGGAGCATACAACTCCTCTGCTGTACCAGCTCCATTGGCTGCCGATTTGCTACCGGGCCCAATTCAAAGTGCTGGCGCTGGCCTTTAAAGCCCTAAACGGTTCTGGCCCAACTTATCTATCCGAACGTATCTCGGCCTATCAGCCCACCAGGACCCTAGATCTTCTGGGGAGGCCCTGCTCTCTATCCCGCCTGCTTCACAGGTGCGGCTGGCGGGGACGAGAGACAGGGCCTTTTCTGTGGTAGCCCCTCGGCTTTGGAACGCCCTCCCCATAGAGGTAAGATCAGCCCCCTCGCTGGTGGCATTTCGAAAAAGACTGAAGACATGGATGTTCGAACAAGCATTCGGTTAACACGGTGCAACGAATCTGACGATCAAGGACTGGTAATCACAGACGATGAAATTGGACTGCGTTTTTAACTAAGAGATGCATTGGTTCGATATTGGTGGCCCAATATTGTATATTATGTATGTGTTTTTATGCTTTTTTTAATGCTTTTTATCTTGAATATTGTTGATTATTGTAATGTTGTAAACCGCGTTGAGTCGCCAATGTAGGCTGAGAAACGGCGGTATACAAGCGCAGTAATAAATAAATAAATAAATAAATAAATAACTTTTTGCTTATCACGCAAGTCAGATGTTCCCACCTCAACATCTTTAAACTTACTCTCCCAATGACACACAGTACTCACATCAACAAAATCATCATAAACAGCTTGCATCTCTGATGAATTTCCTTTGGGATGACACCTTCTGCTGTCAAGAATTCAATGACTGCACGTTGCTTAAGTCGCATTGACCAATTGTCTGCGCAGGGTTCCATACTTCGCACTTTAACAACACAACCGTTCAATGCTAAGGCTTCCTGCCAAAATGGAACTGTAGAGGAGAGTCTACTGAACAAGCCAGTACCTGCCGCATACCAGTACTGCCATCTGATGAGGAGTTACAAAGGTAGAGGCATTACTTTTCATTGAACCCTCGTATAGTAACAATGATGATTATGATGACCATGACAGGATGGAGAAAAATAAGTATTCACATCAGGTGGAAGAAAATGGAAAGGGTCACAATTTGTTCTGTGCTCTCATGTAGTTTCAAATTTATAACAACCCTAAGGTAAAGCAATCATGAGGTTTTCTGGAGCTGTGTGACTTGTGCAGCAAGGTTCATGGCCAAACAGAGAACTGAATGAACCCTGTCCTCCAAGAGTTAGAATTCACGAACCATGCTGGCTCTCTACAGTCACAATATTTTCACACTGAATTCTAGAATCTCTTTATGTACTACCAAAAGAACACACATTCTTCAATTTCGATAATGTATTGATTATGTTGTAAAAAACTTAGTTCTTTGATAACTCGATTTTGACTTGTATATTTGTTTTCTTGTTTTCAAAAACTATTTGAATAAGGAAGAAACAAAGCTGCTTTCTGAGAACCGTTCACATCCGCTGGATTTTGCCTCATAGTTACAAATCTAGAAGGGGAAGTGGTTTGTTGGGCAGTATAATGACAAAACCTTGCAGAGAGAAAGAATTCCTACAGAGCATTTTTAGAAATGACTCCAAATGGAGGTCCTTCATCCTGGCGATAAGAATACCATAAATGTATAGGCTGCTGGTGATTACAAAGCCTTCAGCATGAAGCCCTCACTCAGCATGATCTTTCTTGGTTCGTATTTACAAGCAGAAGGGTTGGCATGATTTGGGTGTTGCTCTGATCCCTTCCAACTAATGGAATTGTTTTTCCAGGGTGGTGGTTGACCAGGCAAGGATGCATGGTGAAAGGTAAGAATCAACAGAAAATCAAAACATTCATCTTTCTGATGGTGAGGTAGGTAAGGAACAGGGACTAAGTGCCATGGTCTTATTCAGCCACATTTCTAAGACATAGGCCCCATATACACTGCCATATAAAATCCAGATTATCTGAACTGTATGGCAATATAGACTCATATAATCTAGTTCAAAGCAGATAATCTGGATTTTATGGCAATGTAGATGGGGCCATAGTCATTTCAGTCTGTCTCAGTACACAACATAATTTTAGCACTTTTAAAATTAATTTAGAGAGCATTTTGTAGCAGACTCAAAATCTTTATGTGATTAAGTATCACTTACATTATCTAATTCTTTAATTGCTTTTGGACATTGGTTGGCTCCTGAGAAAGGAGATTTTCATAGTTGTGTGTGTGTGTCAGACGTGACTTGAGAAACTGGTGTGAGAGAATTGGCTGTCTTCAAGGATGTTGCCCAGGGGACGACTGGCTGATTGATGTTTTACCATCCTGTGAAAGGCTTCTCTCATGTCCCCGCATGAGAAGCTAGAGCTTGACAGACAAGAGCTTACCCTGCTCCCCAGATTCAAACCGCCAACCTATCGATCAACCAGTCCTGCTGGCACAAGGGTTTAACCCTTTGCGTCACCGGAGGCTCCTGATTTTCATAGTGAGCTGCAGCAATTTTTCAATTAATGTTTTTAGATACTATTAGATACTATAATTGGTTGACTTTCTATCTTTTTGTGTTTCTTCTTATGTATACATAATTTTATTCTTCTGTAAACTGTCCTTGGTTGTGAGCAATCTAGTTTTGAGATTAAAAGAAGATATAATGCAATATAATGAAATTTGTGAATCAAGCAAAAACTATTCTGCTTGCTCAGAATTGTTGCAGCTATTGAATTTAGCTGGTGCACATGGAGCAGCTGTGCATGTCTCTATCTAAGATTCTGCTAAAAATCCACATATTTCTTATACAAGATAAATTGTTTAAAGACATTCAAAGGAAGCAGAAAAAAAATCAGGCAAAGATACTCCCCAAGTAATCTCACTAGCCACACAGTCAGGAGATGACTACGCAGGCTCTTCGGCTTGAAAATGGAGGAAAGCACCTCCCAGAGCCAGAAATTAGAACCACCTCCAGAAGCCGGAAATGAAAAAGGAGAAGCCTCTGCCTTTGTGTTTGTGTGTCCCATTGTATATGATTGTAATGGCATTGAATGTTTGCCTGTGTATGTAAAATGCTGTAATCTGCTCTGAATCCCTTAGGGGAGATGGGCGAAATATACATAAAGATTATTATTATTATTATTATTATTATTATTATTATTATTATTATTATTATTAGAAACACAACAAGATGAGTCCACAGCAGACACTCTGCTGGCTGTTGAATTGGATCACATGTCGGACACTTCCCAAGTGTCTAGGACTGTGTGATGTATTGGCGAATAATGCATGCAGATCCCAGTAAGGTGGCCTTCTGCAGCTGGCAGATGGTAATTGTGTCAGCACCGATTGTGTTTAAGTGTAGGCCAAGGTCTTTAGGCACTGCACCCAGTGTGCCGTTCACCACTGGGACCACCTTCACTGGCTTATGCCAGAGTCATTATTATTATTATTATTATTATTATTATTTTCCAAATTGGATTTTTTGTGGTCAGTCTAAACCTCTTACCATTTTTCTAGTGTAAAACAACAATAATGCAAAGCAATTGGTTTTCATTTTTTTCTCCTAGTGAAACAAAATAAAATCTGTGAAAAAAAATCAGAGAAATGAATTATATATTGCAGATATCATTGGATTCTATTTCCCAGCATTCCTCACCATTGGATATACTGGCTAAAAATAAAGGGAGTTTGTATAGTTCAACAGCCATAGAAAGACACATAAGAATATTTGGAAAGTTCAATTGGTCCAAAGGGCTGCAAGGCAGAATGTTAACTAGGGCTGGCTACAGAGAACACATCCTTTCCTTGCTTCAGCAGTTCAGGAGGTTATTTGGGGGGACGGGGACAGGGACAACTGCAACTACTGCATATGATGAAGCATTGTTTCTTCCCACATAAGTTCTGAAATCTTTGATGGCAGGCCATTTTTTCAGTCTTGCCAATTTCACAAACATGTTTGGTGGGAATGTGACGCAAGACTTAGCTCATGCATTTCCTCCAACTCTCCCAGTTTGGCAGGAACAGTCCCCATTAAGCCTCTATTGCCCCCACTGGCGCAGTGGGTTAAACCGCTGAGCTGCTGAGCTTGTGGACCAAAAGGTCACAGGTTCGAATCCGAAGAGTGGCGTGAGATTCCGCTGCCAGCCCCAGCTTCTGCCAACCTAGCAGTTCAAAAACATGCAAGTGTGAGTAGATCAATAGGTACTGCTTTGGCGGGAAGGTAACGGCACTCCATGCAGTCATGCCAGCCACATGACCTTGGAGGTGTCTATGGACAATGCTGGCTCTTAGAAATGGAGATGAGCACCAACCCCCAGCATCAGACAAGACTGGACTTAATTTCAGGGGACAAACTTTACCTTACCTGTCCTGCTTTACAGCTGCACTTAAAATGTCCCAGGTTCTCACTCTGCTTCCCATTTTCTGTCCTCAGCTTACTTTAGTGGCTGCAAGCTGAATTCAACTATAAAATAGATTGCACTCAACTAACCTGTTGGGGAGAGGATGCAGGGGGAATTTGCCCTTACTAATCAACTCTGCAAAAACCAAACTGCTGCAGTCTCTCTTAGGCCCCTTCTACACTGCCCTATATCCCGGGATCTGATCCCAGATTATCTGCTTTAAACTGGATTATATAAGATTCCACTGCCAGATAATCTGGGATAAACAGATAACCTGAGATCAGATCCTGGAATATAGGGAAAGTGAGAAGAGGCCTTAGTTTATTTGTTCTTCCTCATTAGGAAATTTTGTGATACTGATTGCAGTCCAATGTTGCTTGGTGGCACATCCCAATTTTCATCTCTGAAATGTTAGAGAGCATGTTGTTGCAGCTACTGTTATTTCCAAACCTTTCTCCTATATCTCCTTTTCCAATCCAGGATATCTTCTTCCAGCTCTTTCTATCTCAGTGAGCCCCAGTGTGGTGGTTGCTCAGGGAGGAAATGTCACAATCAGCTGTAAAAGCGAAATATACCAACACATGACATTCGTTCTGGTCCAAGGAGTTCTACCACCACAAAATGTGGAAGAGAAAAAGGCAGAGAAGTATGAGGTTACATTTTCTATTGCCAATGTCACACCCTCAAATGAGGGGTCCTACTGGTGTTGCTTCAAAAATTCTCTTCAAGAACGGACACATCACAGTGATCTAGTACACATCTGGATAAGAGGTAAGCCTTGTTCAGTGTAAGTACGTTTTCTCATGTTACTGTGTCATTTCCAACCTCTAGAGACACTAAAGAGTTCCTGTTCTGGGGTTTTCTCAGTAAGATGTGTTCAGAGGATATTTAGTACAACTCTTTCATGAAGTTGTCCAGGGCCCCAGCCAAAAGCAATACAAACCCCAGATATAATTTAATCCAAGAAGGTGCAGAATAAACCCACTATCTAATTAATTTGCCACAAACCAGGGTTTTCCTGGTTTATGGCGAATTAATTTGGGATGTCCAGAATGTAATCTGGACAGCCCCCTTTTTATTGTGGAAGTTTCCGCAATAAAGGGGCTGTCTAGATCCGCCCTGAATCAAGGTGATTCTAAGGTGAATTTATGGGTTTTTCTTCACAAAATTTGTTCTGGCAGTTTAGCCTAGACGTCCTCTGAGGCTGAGAGAGTGTGACTTGACTAGGTCACGCAGTGAGCTTCGACTGCCAAATAGGGAATTGAACTTTGTTCTTAGAGGGCCCTTCCAGACAGGCCCTATATCCCAGGATCTGATCCCAGGTTTTCTGCTTTAAACTGGATTATATGAGTCAGCACTGCTAGATAATCAGGGATAAAAAGATCATGGGATATAGGGCCTGCCTAGAAGGTCCCTAAATACATTTAGAAACATGGCATTGAAATGTGCTCATTTGGCTCATATTTAACAAAAGAGTTTACTGTACTTTAATTATTCATATCAAAGGCTTCAAAAGTAATCCACTTATGCAAAATATGTTGGGGTTTTTTTTGGGGGGGAGGTTACTGGAAAATCTATTGATTTGATAAGAAAATGGTATAAAATGTAAAAATTACTCTTAAATGCCTTTTTTATAAAGTAGCTAGAAAATAGTGCCCCTTGCTCCAAAAATCAATAAATGATGTTCCCATTTTGCCTTATGTTTGAAATGCAACTTAAAAATGCCATCACTCTAATAGTAACAAAAAAAATTATTATAGTTCACATACCTATTGTCCAACACTGAAATCCTCAGAGCCTAAGAGAAGTGAGGACCTATCTCTTCTGGCAGGCCTACCCAGTTTTAATGGCGAATTTTAAACTTCCACTCTATGGCCCCTTCTACACAGCTGAATAGCATCCCACATTACCTGCTTTGAACTGGAATGTATGGCAGTGTGGACTCAGATAACCCAATCCAAAGCAGAAATTGTGGGATTTTCTGCCTTGATATTCTGGGCTATATGGCTGTGTGAAAGGGCCCCTGAGTCTAACTTTTGTTTTGCTTATTTTAATAGGTATTTTATAGAAATATGTTTTAATATGTGTATTCTACAGAATGTTTTTATATGATTATGTGCTTTGATTATGTGTTTTAGCAATGTTGTAACTCGCCTCCTGCCATGAGAAGAGGCGATTAAGAAATAAATTATTATTAATAATATTAAATGATTTATGAGTAACAAACCAGTTGTGAACGTGTTTAACCTAAATAGGACTAAAACTGTCTTTGCGTCATTCACTGTAATTATTAAAGTCTGAGAATAGTCTTGGGGATATTTATGATTATGTGCAGAGAGGGCAAATGCATGGCATAATATAGCGAAATTCCCAGGGTTACTCTACCCTTAAAATGTCACTTTTTAAATTTAACCTTTAGAACAAATTTATCCCAAGCCGTCCATATCGGTGAGCCCCAAAGAACTGGTCCCTCTGGGAGAGAGTGCTGCTATCCATTGTGAGAATGAAGACAACAGTAAGGCACATTACTATCTCATTAAGGAAGGAGCTCATCGTATTATGAAGTCTGAAACACCAGATGGGAGAGGAGCTATATTTCTCATTAACAGTGTTGATCAATCAAATGTTGGGATCTACTGGTGTGACTACAGACCGGAATCTGATTATCAATACTCCCGTTTCAGTGAGAGAGTGTACATCAACATAACAGGTAAGAAATGCATAATAAAACTTTTCAACATTTCATAAATTGAAACTAGTCTATGTGTGGCTAAGCAACATCAGAGTGTGATTAATGTGGCAAAAGGTATTAATGAGAAAACACTGGCAAACTTGGGGAGGTTGCAGCAGTTTGTTTTGTCTAACCTTCCTGCAAACTGCAAGAATCTGCCCTCTCCTTTCCACCCTTAGCTGAATTTATGGAGTACTTTTGAACTAGTTTGCAGCAATTAAAATCTGCTGAAGGGAAAAGTGACAAGTCAGAGGATGAGAAAGAAAACGGAACATTTCAACAAAACTGAAAAGGCAGGACAACATAGGATTAATCGGAAGCATCCATGCCAAATTGGGACAGTTGGAGGGTGTGCCCATACTGTTCTCACAAGCCTTTTCTAAGAGGACCACTACATTTTGTATGTAGTTACACATTATATATGATATTTTGCATGTCGTGAATACTTACTTACTTACTTAGGCGATCCCTCGTTGTCTGAGTAGGATAGTCCTCCAGGGTCAGTGTGCGGTGGGTCCGTAGGTGACTGTGGAGCCCTATTCTTGTTCTGCATCTTTGCCCGCAGTGAGGGCATTGGTTTCCAGGTAGAAGGCGGTTCCGGTCAGAGTTGGCTTGACGCGCCTTCCTCTTGGCACATTTCTCTCTTTCACCCTCCATTTGTGACTCTTCAAATTCTACAGCACTGCTGGTCACAGCTGACCTCCAGCTGGAGCGCTCAAGGGCCAGGGCTTCCCAGTTTTCATATAATGTTTTCATATAATGTCGTGAATGCACATTATATGAAAACATAAATTTAATTTAAAGAGTCTCTCTGGTAATTTATGCCACATGTGAATCTTATCAGCAATGTCTAGTTCATTTTGAATTTTAAAAGGTTTGTCTGCGACTGAATATAACGAGGTATGTAGCTGAATAGCAAACTTACACAGCTCTGTGGATTGAATCCAACTTTTTCTTACATATAGATCATAATTTCCCCAAACCCTCCATCAAAATGGCACTGGAAGGACAGCACGCTCCTGGTGAGAGTGTCACAATTCTTTGTGAGGGGCCAGAGAACAATCTGACGTTCTTCCTACACAAAGCAATGGATTTGAGAGCATCACAGGAAACAGAACCTGGGAGTAATACGGCAACGTTTCTTGTTCAAAATATCACATCAGAGGATGAAGGCAACTACACTTGTCAGTACCACAAGAGTGGAAATCCCTTTGTGTGGTCAGTGCCAAGTAATCCTGCACAGTTGGTTGTGGAAGGTGAGGAATTTAATCTGGCTTGTACTCTTTTAGAGTTGGAAGGACTATTCAAAACATGTTTTTCGAGCACAGAGAAATTTTGAGAAGAATCCTAGACTAGTGGGAAAATTTGGAGTTTGTAATTTGCTCTTCATGTCTGCTTATGGACATTTTACACAGAAAACAGAATTTTCTATGCAGAAAAAGCATTTTCAATCAATATTTCTATGCAGAAACAAAACCATTTATTTCTGCACAGAAAAAATTGTTTATTGTGCAGAAAATGCAGTATGAAGAGTCTTATTCTGCTTTTTTAAAAAGCATAAGGTTAATTTGAGCAAAAAACATTTTTCTGCATATAGAATAACGTTTGTACACAAATATCCCTTTCTGTGTAAAAAAAAAATCATACATCACATCATCCTTTTTGCCTTTCTCCAAATATACGCCAACTGGTCTACATACTGTATATACTCTAGTATAAGCTGATCCGAATATAAGCAAAGGCACCTAATTTTATCACAAAAACTGGGAAAATGTATTGACTTGAGTATAAGCCAAGGGTGGGAAATGTAGCATCTACCGGTAAATTTCAAAATAAAAATAGATACCAATAAAATCATGTTAATTGATGCATCAGTAGGTTAAATATTTTTGAATATTTATATAAAACAGTAATTTAAGATAAGACTTCCCAACTCGATTAAACCATCATTCTAACCTTCTTCAGTATAAATGTCCTTACATATCCTTCCAATAATAATAAAGTAAAACAACAAATGTAATAAAAATAAAATAATAGAGAAAATAATAGAAATGAAATAATAACAGTAATAAATAGAGAAAAATAATAAATGTAATAATAACAGAGAATAAAATAATAAATGTCATAACAATAAAATAATGTAAATGTAATAATAATAATAATAATAATAGTAAATAGAGTAAAATAATAAATGTAATAGAAATAATAATAATTAATTTATTGATTGATTGATTGATTGATTGATAACATGGACTTGAGTGTAAGCTGAGGGGGCTTTTCCAGCCTAAAAACTTCTGTTCGATCAGAAGTCCCAGAGATATATATACATTATCTTTCTGATTAAGATCTATATAGTTTCTGATTAAGATCTATATAGAGTCCTCATTCTTTTTAACCATGTTTTGATAAAAAAAGCTTTCTAAGTTTTATTTTTGATAAGAGATGGACAATGTATAGTCCTCTAAAAGTTGTCAAACTTCATTTTCATTAACACTAGACAACATTGATTAGTTATAAGATGTGATGAGAGCCACAATACAACATCTAAAATAGTGATTCCCAACCTTCCTAGTGCTACAACTCTTTGATACAGTTCCTCGTGCTGTGCTGACCCTCAACTGGGAGATTGTTTTCGTTGCTACTTCATAGCTATAATTTTGCTACTGTCATAAATCGTGATATGAATGTCTGATATACAGGATAGATTTTTCATTTATTTGACCAAGTTTGATACAAATACCTATACACAAAATTTAAATACTGGTGGAGTTGGTATTGATTTTGTCATCCAGGAGTTATGGTTCCTGGGATTTATAGTTCACAATAAAAAAAAACATTCTAAACTCCACCAACAATAAAATTCAAAGGGTCAATTGTCTATACGACTCAATTTACATTCACCTCATACAATCCTGTCTTTTAATTACATTTAACGGATTAAATGTTTGTTTTCCCATGCCATATCTTGTTAGGTTGTTGATCATGTTACAATTTAAAAATTCTTGGTTAGTTCATCTTAAGATTGAGTTTATTAGATCTACAAATCATAGTTTTGTTTGTTTCCTTTGATGTTCTTTTCCTTTTCTAAAACGGCCAAACTGCCCCACATATCAAACACAACACGCTGAAGTCAACATTTTGAAAGTCTGATCTCAGCTTTCACTAGATTTAAACATTCTGTCATTGATTTTCCACAATAAAATCAACACTCACTCCTTTCAAACAGACAAACCCCCCTGTTCTTTGTTTTATTTTAAATAAAGGTCTAAAATACCTACTTCATAAAAAAATTGATAAAACGATACTAAAAACCAGACATTTATTGCTTTATATATCAATTATATCTACCTTACAAACACTAAAATCCATTAAAAAATCTCTCCCTCTGTGTGAGAGACCCAAGCTGACAAACAGGCTACATCCCAGACACAGCCAAAAAGAAGGGGGGCATACATTCCGAGAGAGAGAGAGAGAGAGAGAGAGAGAGAGAGAGAGAGATAAGCCGTACCAAGAGCCGGCTAGGCTCTAATTACAACACACAAAAACACACCTCCCCTCTCCTAACATCTTAAAAGTGCCCTCTTGATCGATGGCTAAATATATATATATATAAAAAGCTTGCTCTACAATACGACACATTCCCTTCCCTGTTTCCCAAACACACCCTTATAAAAAATCATGCCTTTCACTTACCCATCACGTTAACAAAATACAATAGTTAACCATTCTAATGTGATTGAGACCTCCACTACAACATTTTTATGCCTCTTGGCCAAGACTATTCCTTCTAGACTCTACCCATTTCTACCTAAACCTAAAAGGCCTTAAAACTGCTTCTCCTCTCTTATGACTCTGTGCCAGTTCCAAAGGTTTTAAAATAATGCCACCCCAATTCTAAAAGTTAAACATGGCTTCCTACTGTTGACCTGGGTTTAACACACTCAGTTTTGTCACTTTAGGTGTCTTAAGATTTTCAGTTGATCTGATCTCTCCATGATAGACAGTTCTGATTCTGTCTCCAAGCCACCCCTGGACATCTGAGTCATAACAAACTTACAGCCTACAATATACATCAGACAAACATCAACACAAACATTAAAACACTAAGAGATTTAACCCAAAAACTGCTGATATTATATCTACATACAGTCAAAAAGTGTTTCATAAACAACCCATCCTAAATGGGATATCACAGTTAATAACCTCCTAACTAAAACACTCATTTCAACAACAACCACTTACACTCTTTGCCTAATTTTCCTCACTAATTTCCATAAAAAAAATAGGACACATGACATACTATACAAATATCTATGATAACCACTAGATCTATTCTAAATATGACAAACTCTTTATCCAAACCATGTTTACAATTCAATTTAACATAAACCCCAGAGACACTAAAACAAACCAACTTTCACAAACAGACGACACACATTTTCCCTCATTTTTCCCCTACAAAATCTCTTCATGTCACTGTTGACACATTCTCTGGTTACATTTAGACAACGCCTCACAAAAGAAAACAAACCAAACATGTTATCAATCACTTTCTTTATACCTTTACATTCATGGGGATCTCTGCTACAATAAACCTGATATTACACTACTACATTCACAGTTTTCTGCCCACACCTTTAACATTCCATACAATTGCCACACAAAAACACAATTGCTAGGCGTTCCAATCATACACCTAAAAACCATCTGCTTCTTCTAACAAACAAAACAAAAGGGAGGAGTAACCCCCTGGTCTCCTCCTCGCTGCTCTTTTTCCTTTCCAACACTGGTCTTCACATGTGTTATTTACCATTAATCATTTGAATTTAATTTTATCTGATTCTTCTCTCGTTACCAGGGTCCAGAAGCATTTCCAAACCTCTACCCCTCTCCCTGCGCCCTCCTGCTCCCTTGATACAGGTTGCCAGATCCGAAGTGAGAAGGTCGAGCTCCCCTCATCACCTGGAGTCAGAAATACGCTGCTGTGACGGGCCGATTTGAGTTCCTGCTTCAGCTGTCATAAACCTATAGACTTTAACAAACACGGCCTGCTCTTTGGCCAAAGTTATTAATCACACATTCTCTGCCATCGGTTTCTTGAATCAAGCGCTTTGGGTTCCTGCTCCCTACATTTGCCCCTGGAAAGATGACGTGGCACCAAGGCCTCCAAAATCCCATTCCCAAGTTCACCCTCCAGTCAACTCCATGTATTGTTTCAATCTCACAGATAGTTTTAACAAAATATCTATCTATGTTGCTTCTTAAAAGACTTAGCTCAACATATTAAGCACAACACTGTCCCCGCTTGGTAGAACTTTTATGGTCCAATTTGTTTAAATTGCCTTACTATTGATTGCTTATGTAATAATCTGCTACTGCTACATTTAATATATATATTCCATTGTTATAGACTTTTTGCCAGCCTCACGCTCTGCTGCCCCCCCCCCTCGGAGTGATGTCCTATATATATATATATATATATGTCCTTGCTTTTAAACAAACAAATAAAGGGGAGATGTAGAGACAGATTCTAATCCCCTGGGGAAATGAATAGACGCCGTGGTGTCGCTAAGGGGCACTGGCAAACCATGTCTCCAGGCACACCCGGCATATTCCAATCCCCTGGTGTTCACATTCCGGCAGACCATACAAGGACATCACTCCCTGGACCAGTAGTAGGGTTACATCACCTTTCGATTAGCTCACCTTCCACCAAACACTTTGCCATGATGTAATCACCCACTGTTGCCAGGCAGACTTTGCTAAGAGCACCACAGCCTATATAAGCTTTGCTTAGACAACAATAAATGGGATCATCATCATTCACTTTCACACCCTGTCTCTGCCTGGTTTCTTATTGCGTCCCTTCAGAAAACCATTGCAAAAACTATACATTATAGACAGGGGCGGCTCAACCCAAAGTAAGCATTTGCAGTATAGTTGATTTTGCCCAGGAGCACTCTTGAGGCACTCTTGGGGGAAAATAGACCTTGACATATGCGAGTTGTATTACTGGGATGTATAGTTCACCTACAATCAATGAGCATTCTGAACTCTACCAATGATGGAATTGAACCAAATACGGCACACAGAACTCCCACGACGAACAGAAAATATATATCAGTGATAGCCCGAAAAAACCCACAAGAACCTATATCAGTGATTGGTGGGGGGGGGGGGGGGGGAATACTGTTTGCTTACCATTGGGCCGCCTCTGATTATAGATAAGTATTAAGCTATACTAAGTTAGTATAGATGGTATATTGTGTTTTGAGCTGTTTTTGAGATATTTAGACAGATAAGCTTAGTTGAAAAGATTGAGTTATATAGTTATAGAGAGAGAGTCGTGACTGCTTTGTCTCCAGGACTGACCTTAAGTTATAGATAGGGGAAAAGCCTGCCTTTTTCTAAACCACAACAGCTTGAGGTTAGGGTGTTAAGATTCCAGAATCTTATCTGCCACCTGGAAAAAAAAGGTTACCTCTGTAACTAAAGAAAGGAAAGAATATTTTTGTAGTTTCATCTATTGACTGTTTATTTGCAACTTTGATGAACTGTGCCAAGTCTTCAAGGACTTTGAACAAATAAATATCCTTTTTTGATGTTTAAAACCAGTAATAGTCTCATTTCCTGAGTATCTCAAGCTTCTCAATGTAGACACTTGCAGTTCGCTCAGGCATGGAGAGAAACACGTTGCAGTTTTATTTTTTATATCGTCTGGGCGGACGGCACAGTATCTGAGTAAGAGCACAGCATTGTTCTAGTTAGTCTCTGGTTAATTATTTTTATCTTGTGTCGGAAAGAGAAAATAAAGTAAACAGTTTTATAACCCATATGATGGCAAAGGGAAGCTTAGATAATAGGCCTGGGCTATTTAGTTCGTTATTTCGTTATTTCGTTATTAATTCGTTATTTTTGCATTTTTGAAGCGATATCAAAACACATTTTCAAACCCGGAAGGGTTTAAAAATATCGAACCGGCAGCCCCCATAGATTTAACGAGCT